ATAATCGTAACATTTTAACACAAAACAATAAAATTCCTTTTTTATTTATCAGATTCCTTGAAGCTGATGCTTTTTCAACATCCCATAGAACATTTAAACGGATATATGAATTGTGAACTTGAAAATAATCCTGTTTTGATGAGAGTAAAAGTTACTAACACGACTCGAGCCAATAAAACGAGTTTAATTGACAATCGCGTTCTCTAGACTTGTTTTGTATCTATGCTATTTCCGTTTGTCAATACGTTGTATGTGAACCACAACGCATATCAGTCGTAATGACAACACGAACCAGTCGTGACAGCTTCACAAACTTGTCCTGCGGTCCGTGAAAATCTCAACATAATATATCACGTATATCAATAAAGCTAAACATCAGATCAAAGCTCAGTGTTGTACGCTAGCTTTATAAATTCAATGTAGAATAGAGACGTTTATGAACGATCAAATATGCATTTCTACGTCTCATCATTTCCGTCTGTGGCTTGTATAATAGTTTTGGTTTTACATCTGTCATGTTTTACGAAAAATATTTCGGCAACGGAGTTAATATTTTCTACAAAGTTTAACAGAAATACCGATTTATCTGCAACAATTATACCAGGTGGTATAACACTCCCCGAGCTGCCATTCGGACATGACCAAACCAAAGGGAACAAAACCGAATTACAATCAAAAGTTCCATTCAATCTGGAAGTAGAGCCGATAATTGAAAAATTACCTACAACAGAAGTCTTAGCGAAAGTGGATGGTGAACTGGCTATCGGAAAATTTCCGACCGCAGAAGTTTCAATAAATGTAGATGGTGAACCAGCTATTGAAAAATTGCCTAAAGTAGAAGTTTCAGTAAAGGCGGATGGTGAATTGGCTATCGGAAAATTACCTACCGAGTCAAACAACCCAACGGAATCCGATGAACAACCACAAACAGAAGTTTCGTATGATGTAAATGATCTGACGAACACTGAAAGACCAGATTCAAATGTTTCATACAATGTGAAAAGTGAATCAACTACAATAACTACGCAGTCAACCGAATCTTCAACCAAAGCTGTTACAGACAACCCGTGGATACAGAGAATACAAACTGCCAAATCTAGGAGCCTGGCACTTCCTCAACCAAATGCTATCAAAATATCTACCGAAAAACCAATTTTGTTGGGTCAGATTATCTCAAACGTCCTATATGGTGCACCTTGGTTAGCTCCCCAAACAAACTCAAAATGTGCACAGGACATGATGCTATACAATAAACACTTGCAAAACTTGACATTGTGGGCATATAAAAGTAAGTAACATTATCTAAACATACATCAAATAATTAAATTATTTAAATTATAATTTATAACATATTACAAAAGCTCCGATATTTCTGTCTCAATATTATTCTTTTAAATTAGAATAATTAAAATAATATTGACAAAGTTTTTCTTCAAAAATAAAATCAATTTATTTAAGAATAAACTTATAAATAAAAAGAAAACTAATATACAGAATGTTACAAGCACTGAGTTACTAAAATATGTAATAATTTATAATACTATGATTGTTTGATGCATCGTTATTATGCTATATATTCATAAATTCTATTGATTTTGAAGATTTAATAAAAATAACTTTTCTTTTTGACAAAAAAAAAAAAAAAGTAATAATATATGTGCATTATACACATAAAAGTAATTACGAACTGTTTTACAATTAAGCTATACTATCATTGGAAATTAAAATTATTAACCAAATTTAATTTATTACAATTTTTAACTAAAATTTTTGATTTTTTAAGGAAACATTTTATCGTTAATAATGTACTTAGATAAACAGCTACACGTACTATTTTATCTATTTATTTACTTAGATACTAATAAAATATATAATTAACATTTTTATAATAAAAATAAAATGTCTAAGTAGATATCCTTGTTAAACATGCATATTTTTCAATACAATAATCTTTTGCATAAATTGGTTAGAAGTTAAGTACACTTTGAAATAAACCACTGTCGTCGTCTAACCGGTTTCTATAGTTTCTTAGATATATCATCTTTGTGAAAAACTAAGTGCCGTTTTCCTTGTTTTAAATGTCAATATTATTTTTTAAATTAAATTACAAATCAATGGCAAAAAAATTAATAATACATTATTTGGATCTTTATAAATTATGTTGTTATTACATCACATATCATTAATTTTATTTTTGTAATTTATATATTATAGTTTATATTAACATTTAACGGAAATAATGCATATTTTTCGTAGTAACAAATATCCAATAATAAGTATCTAGCTACGTTATATTTTATTCTTCATTTATAATTGATTCGATTAAATTGTATTAAGGTTTTCATGTTGATAAATTCATAAATTATATTATTTAAAAAGAACACTCTCCATAAAATGTACATTAGTTAGTAAAGTTGTTAACTATCGGACAAATTAATTACAACGTATAACATACTATGTAAGACTGTAACATTTATATTTGATTAATCTAAAATTTTTACTTTTAATCACACAATTATTAAGAGTCGTTTAGATATTATAGTGTATGCACTGAAATCTCAAAAGCAATAAAATAAAAGGGAAATTACAATCCAGGCTTATTGGATAAATTGTAACACTATGGTTTTTAATTCTGAGTAGAGCAGCAAATTTATTGGTTTTACAACAATGATGTTTTTTTCTGTCTGTCATTACTTTTTGGGGTAGTAAAAAATAAAAATATTTTTATTATTTTTAACTTTGGGTATAATTTCTGATAGCGATTTGGATCTATTTGGTATTTTGGAAGTCAAAAGTAAAATAAGCTTCTAAATAAACGAGGAATACAAAATAAAAAATCAAAAAAAAACAAGAAGAATTTTACCCGAAACCAGTATTGTACCAATTTTTTTTTTGATTCTGAACGGAGTGATGAATGTATAGATTTTACAATGATGTGTGTTTTTTTTTTGTGTCTTTGTACAGCATAAGTAGTCGAAATAATACTTCAATTTCAAATTTCGGGGGTGGTTTCCGATGGCAAAGTGAATATCCTTGGTGCATTATAGAGGTAAAAAGTAAACATTTTCCAACAGTTTACAAAAAAATCGAGAAAAAAAAATGATGAAAAAACCGGAATTTTTACGCAAAACCAGTTTTCGACCAAATCGATTTTTTTATATGGTTGTAATTCAAAAACTAATCACTGTAAATACTTAAAATTTTCACCAAATGTTTATGTTAGTGTTATCTATATACAGTTTAATTTTTAAAAGATTTTGACTTTTTTTGAGTTATATATAGACCATTGAAATTATCGATTTTTACGAGAATTTTTTTTTGAAGTGTTGATAAAAAAATGTTGGATGACCAAAAAATTTTGAAAATTTAATACAAGATTCCTTATGAGTTGTTCTTATTGAAGATAAAAAAAATTAAAAATCGTTAGTCACAATTTTTTTTTTTATAAACGTTTATAGTTGAAATATTTACGAAATCTATCGAAAACGCGAAAATTTGTAAGTAATTTTGAAGTTGAAAAATCATAAAGTTTTTTGTGTTTATAACTAAGGATTAAAAATACTACACTATATTTTCCTTAAGTTTCCCTTCAAGTAGCTATACAAAAAACTCGAAGCATCATTAAAGGAAAAATTTTAAGTGTGTTTGAATTTTTAATTTTTACGAAATAGCGTAACGATAACGATTTATCCTCAAACGATTTTAAATATTTGTTGATATTCAAAAAGTATAAGTCGTAGATACTTGAAAACTTTACCAGTTATTTAGATTGGCTTTTTCTACGTGATTTAATTTTCAAAATATTTTCACTTTTTTTCAGCTATTTATAAACAACTGAAGTTTTCAATTTTTCTGAAAATTTTTTTTTGAAGTGTCGATAAAAATTTTTTGACCCAATCAAAATACTTGAACATTTAATACAAAGTTCCTCATAAGTTATTCTTATAGTGATCAAAAAATTTTAAGAATACATAAGCACAATTTTTTTTTATTAGCATTTGAAGTTCAAATATTGACAAAAATTCGTCAAAACCATGAATATTTGCAAATTATTTTGTAGATATAATTCATAATTCATAAAAATTAATTGATTAACCATGACTTTTGCAAATGCGTCCTAATTGAAAAATAAAATATTTTTTCAAAAAAGAATGTATGGCAATATTTAAATATAATATATCCTAGACTGACAAATCATCTCCATTCAGAATCGTTTTTCGTATGCAATGATACCTATCATTGCATTCAATTTTAACCTACCGTAGTCCGAGGTTCACCCCACCCTCTAATGTACAGCAGAGCGGTACCCACTTGCCCGCTTTTTTTTTTTATTGTAAAAATAAATACCTTAAATATTTGAAAATTTTGCCAAATTTTTATATTTTTTAAACACGATAAAATTAAATATAAAAATATTTTGACTCTTTTTGATCTATTACATACATTTGAAATTTTCGATTTATCTTTAGTTTTATTTTTTTATGTAAACTTTGATAACAATTTTTGCCCTCTCAAAAACCTAGAAAATTTAATTTAAGGTTTTCCAAATGTTTTTCATTATATACCTATATTAAAAAAATACAAAAAGCAATGATAAATATTTATAACTGCTAAAAGCTAAAATATGTTGACAAAATTTATCAAAACTATGAAATTCGCTAATAATTTTATAACTAAAAATAGCTAAAAAATTGTTTACACATAAATAAAAATAAAAAACCATAGGTAAAATCAATACATTCAAGAAATAAAAAAATTAATTTACAAAGTTTTTTTAATAATAAAAAATATATTATTGTTTAATATAGAATTTAAATTACTGTTTATTGTATAGTGACGTAACTTACGTAATTAATTTTGATATATTTGTAATATATAATATGTGTTATATACTTAGTAGTTAATATCCCTTAGTCAATATTATCAAAATATAAATTTTATTATTTAACGTATTTTGTACAGGTTAGAGTTTTCTTATAATTTTTTACTAATAAAATAAAAGCTATCAAATCTCATATCGTAAAAAAAAAAATGAGACAAATACTATAGTAAATAGTTACCTTATTATTTACTCAATTCTTTTAAAAATTTCAAAATATATTAATTTATTTTAAAATGTACTATGGTATTTGTATTTATAGGTATTATTATATGTACAGGTAACAATTAGGTATTTACATATATGGTAAGATTATAGGTAACTTAATATTTTTTATTGCCCTTAATATATATTATCATTAGGGTTAGGATGTTTATGACCTTAAAAACACTAAAAAATACATGCAAATATGCACAATAAATATCAAAATATGCATTTAAAAAAAATTAAATGTCTTTTTAAAATTAGTTTATTAGGTACTAATCCAAAATCTATTCCTAATTAATTTACAATACTATTTTTATAACCTTAGACTTAAATACAAATATGAGATTTTTGAAATTAAAAATAAAGGCATCACCACACTATTGCGATCATCGTTCATAAACATGATTATATTGATTAATAAACATATAATTATAGTAAAGATAAATAAGTAATAAAGATAAGTTAATAATTTAAACTACACGTTTTTCTCGTTTTTATTAGTCATGAAACCAACAATGCCAATCTATAGGTAAATATTGATGTTTATATTATATTTAAGTTATTTTTTGTACAAAATATGCATTTATTTACAATTTTTTGGCAGAATATGCATTTATTGATAAAAATTCCTAAATATGCAAAAATATGCAAAATAAAATTGAATATATCTGATTCTATGCCATATAAAACGAATTTATTATTGGGTTTGTAATGTGTACGACTAAAAGAAAAAATATGCAAAAGTCATAAACATCCTAACCCTAATTATCATCTTCGTATTTTCCAGATAACCTGTCAATATTTATTTTGAATAGATAGACGATATTATTATTTTTTATTTCATAACCCTAAATAGAATACTCTTAAAAAATTTTATCTGAATATTTTTCTTTAAAAATTAAATGCTAACAGTTAATGAATTATATTGTATATCTAAAGAAATTATATTGACGATTTGATAAAATGTTCGTTTCAATTGACGTAAAATTGTTGAATTATTCAGTTTTTAAACACATATATATGCAGAATATATTATATTATATAACTGCATGTAAATATTTATGTTATCGTTGGTTGTATTATTATAGTGTTAGACGCCACATCAAAAGGTCCCGAAGGACTTGTAGATGCAAACACATTCAGTTTCGGTAATTTCGACCAATGTATTGAATCACGATCTAAAAATCTCGGTATATCCGGAGGATACACATTGGTAGACATTGATTTTCGACCAAGTTATCAATTGTATCCAGAGTTTTATAACAACGATCACTCAAAAGATTATGAACCGTTTGACCAAGATAAGACGACATGGGAAATACTGAAGGTAAATTTGACAATTGCATAAAGTGTTTTATATTTATAATTATATTTTACATATAATATAAATAGCTAATGAATATATCTCTCATATGGTGGCGATCCATTTATTATTAAATATCAAATCATTCAATATTAACCAACTCCAATAGATGAAATTTAAATATTTTATTTAAAAAACAATGATTTTTTTCATTTATTTATTTGACTATATTTCTGTTGGATTAAAAATTTGCTATGGCCTAAATATCTGACAATTTTTTTCAAAAACCTTTTACCGTGGTAACTATTATTGATTACCAATTATCACTTGGAAATTATATACTATAATTTAAATTCTTGGTATATTTTTTTATTTTTTTTATTTTTATTGATACACTTTAGCTAGGTACCTATGTTTAAATTAAATTTATTTGTAATATTAAATTTTTTTCAAATGGTTTTATTTCTTTAGCACAACGTACAAGAGGCTTATGTACAAAGACACAAATTTCAATGGGGCGTGTGTTTACCAGATACTTGTCAATCGAAAGACGTTCAAAAGATCGTGAGCAACGTATTAATACCAGAGCTAAACCGTCATGGATTGGAAGGTAATGTAACCATCGACCCATTGTTACACACTTCCAAAGAAAATATATATAAATTCACTGCGGGCTTTTTTTTTGTCTGGTACGTTTAAAAGTAATACGTTTATATTATTCAGTACCTTTTTTATGTCGGCCTTTATTTTTTTGTAGCGCAATGTACGTGGTGATTGGAATGCTTGTCATCGTAGGCACCTTGTACGATTTTATTTATTTGCAATACCGACCAAAATCTGAACACGGACCAATGAGTAAGTTCAAGTCAATACATTTATGTGATAAGATTTTATTTTATTTTTTAAATAGCATTTTCAAAGTTCTCTATCGTCGTATCTTACTATTTTATTAGAAAAACTCATGAAACCGTTTTCACTTATCTCAAACTTGGAAAGACTTATGAAACCGTCGGAGACCGAAGAGTTTTCAATTATAAATGGATTTAAAGTATGCGCGATTCTACAGGTCATTATTGGCCACAGATGGTTTATTGAGCTCGGAAATCCACAGTCAAATCCTAATTTCACTCATTGGGTAAATTTAATGCAATGCATATTATAAAACACTGATAAAGCCACAATCAGTTATATCAAAAGTTTTTTGTTTAGATGATTCACAATTTTTGGTTGGGCTACTTTAAATGTACCATATTTTTGGAAACGTTCTTTGTAATTAGTGGATTCCTCACTTTCCGTATAATTACAAAACAACTCACAGAAAAAAAACATTTGAACTTTATACCCATTATGATCTATAGATGGTTAAGGTACGTGGTGTAATACTTTTATTTATTTAATTTTTAAAAAGGTCATAACTTGTTACGTAATTTTATAGAGATATATTGAGTATTTTGATTTCAGAATATTCCCAGTGTACGGCACACTTATTGTCACATATATTTTCGTACTTCCATATCTGAACAGTGGTCCTATATGGAGAATGATCGTTTACAGAGAATCGGAAAGATGTCAAACCAATTGGTGGACAAACGTACTTTTTATTAACAATTACGTCCACACGGATGAATTAGTAAACACAAATATATATATTATTTATCTTATTTTTCATTTAAATATGGTTTAATGGTATAATGTTAATAGTGTATCATCCCCTCGTGGTATTTGGCTTGTGACATGCACTTTTTCATAATCGGCACACTACTGACCTATGCTATTTGGAAGTGGAGAAAACAAGGGTTGATAATACTTGGAGCGTGTTTAACCTTATCAACAGTAATCCCTGCTTATATAATAATCAATGAGAAACATCGAGGAACGGCTGATATTACTCCCCAGTAAGCGTTTATATTAATCAAAATTGTCTGATATAATATTAAATTTAAATCAAATATCTACTCGGTTTCTCGAGTATATCTATTAACTAGTATATCATTATCAATATAACCTAATATCTATAGTTTGAAATTAATTTTATTTACCTAAATTTACATCAATATATTTTATTACATAAAGAGACTAATTTATTTCTAAGTTATAAATAAATGAATAATATATTTTAAATTTTGATTTGAAAAATATTTTTACAGTTGTTATTGTTAATAACTATACATAAAAAATGTCTAATATCATAATAATTATTAACTTAAAATTTTAAATATCGTACGATTAAAAATATGAAACCTTATTATTTAAAAAAATTATTTATACAATATCAAATTATATTAATTGATATTATATATTCGTAAAATATTTTCTACTCATATATTTATTTTTAGCCATTTTATTCAAATCAGAAATAAGAGATTTTAATATAAATAATTTTAAGCAAATTAGTATTTGTAACAATTTTAATATTTTGTTCAAATTAAATGTACATAATATTATACATTATTTTCGTGTTATAGAAATCTTAAAGATCTCAGCAAAGAAAGATTTTATACTGAAGTGTATATTAAAAGCCATATGAGATCAATGACTTATTTCATTGGAATCTTAGCAGGATACTTGTACATGAGATTGAAGGAAGCTGACTACAAGTTATCATTGGTAAAATAGAATTTAATCTATTATATTTAACCCTTAGTTATAATATGCAAAATTAATATTGTTTAAAAAAACTGAATAGGTAAATATTAGCTTATTGTCGTTAAATATAATATATTAAAATTGTGGAAATAAATATATCTCATATATCCTTTATTAATATGTATAAAATACACTACTTTAAATATTATTATTAATTTATGTTAAATATTTATTAATTCACAGAAAAGTCGTATTTTCTGGGTTCCAGTTGTTCTTATAATTGGAAATATTATATATTTGAGTTCTGGAACATTCTTTACATTAAAACACAAATATGTAAATTACGAACACGCAATATACTTTACGATCGGGCGACTCGTGTGGTCTATTCTTATATCTTACGGCATAATAGGTCATGGACTCTCCGGATTTGGTAATTTATTTAAATTATAAAAACTTAACACAATTTTTATTTTTTGTGATTTGTGTGTAAAGGGGTTTGTATCAGTGGATTTTTGGGTCATAGAATTTTCCACGTTCTTGGAAAATTAGTTTTCTGTGTCTATATGTACCAAGAAATCATTCAACTTCAAACGATCGGAGCCATCGAGACACCAACATATCAAAGCTTAACATTAATAGTAAGTACTATAAAATTACTGAGTTTTCACACTTCTAAAATGATTTTTGAAATGTGCTTTGTCTTTTTTTTTAGTGTTTTTTTATTTTTGAACGTCAAATATATTTGACGTTCAAAAATAAAAATAACTTAAATGTATAACATGTTTGCTAGTCTTATTTCAATGAAATTAATTTGTATTTTTTTACTATAGTTTTGGAGATTTTGTGGTGACACCACAGTGGCCTTCATGTATGCATTTGCAATTAATGTTATGATCGAATCGCCATTTGATAGATTCCAGAAGAACGTAATGAAATTATTTGTTGGAGGTAAGAATATTACAATCTAATTTATATGGTCTTTTCCATATGGCATATATCATCATTTTTTAGGTAGCGTAAATCAAAAATAGATGATAAATAGATAGATATAAGAATTTGATAGAAATATTTAGGTAGATACTATAATAATATTGTGTTAGTCATACTTTTAAAGTATCAAATTTAAATACAATTGTATGTATCAATTTAAAAAAATATTTCATTGATATTTACCTAATATTAATTATTAATTGTAGCTAACAGGTAGTAAATTTAGATAAAAATAACATTGGTGTTCTTATTTATGCTTTATAAGTCAATTTTATAAACATATACCTAATAGGTATATATCATATTTTTAAATATTACACCAAATCAGAACAATATTACTCTATTTATTTTAAATAAAATGTACAACGAATTTAATTACTTTGTAATAATTTAAAAAATATTGATCCTAGAAATTCTTCGACTTAATGCATATTATTTTCTATATACTATAAAATTTGCAATATAATATTTAATAACACTTGAATTTATAAAAACAATTTTTGCATAATGAACTCTGTATTTTTAATAAACATTTTTTGAACGAATGGTTTTCCTAATAAAAAAATAGATTTCTATTATTAATATTATAAATTATACTAAGAAATAGAGACAGAGACTAAAGAACAGTAACTAACAATAACCTAATAAATAACTTGAAACTTACTTTATATACTGCAGAACAACTTCTCCGATTTTTAAATTTTAATATTTTTCTTATCTCTAAAATATAATTACGTAATAATGTTATTTTTTTATTGTTCTAGATACGTTTTCAAAACCAAAACCACGACTATCAATTAATAGAAACAATCTTGAAAACTTCGAGATACAAGCATAATTTAAATTTATTTGTTATCTTATATTGGTAAATTATTCCTCAGATGAAAATATCATGTACTTTGTACATTTTTTTTTTTTTTGTAGTATATTAAAATGTAATTATTATATATTTAATAAAATTGATACCATTCAATATTATTTATAAATATTTAAGAGAAATATTAATTATTATAATAATATGTAATGTTTATGCCTAGTCAAAACTATAATAATATTATATTACAATGTCAAACCGTTAAAAAAACTAATTGTAATTGGACTTTGAACAAAAACATTATCAAGGTGTATTTGATAAAATAAATCAATTACTGATAAATATACAAACTGATTCACCAACCATATGCTTACCCTTTTTTTCATAATAATTGTGTTTGGAAGATATTGTGGCCATGGCGACTAATCAACAATTTTAATGATTAATGTTAACCCACCAACTAGCCCAAATATAATATATACTAAATTCAATATTAAATCTACTTTATATTTTTGAAATCATTTTTAAGAACATGTTTTCTTATTATAAGCATCTCAACGATTGAAAAACTGTTCACGAGATATTTTAATTTAAAACAACAACATTAGAAGAAAGAAAAAAAATTACCCACAAAATAATTTACATTAAAAAGGGGTTTTTATTTTGAACCAAAAGTTTGTTTTTCCACTTAGTAGTTTTTTAAATAAAAAAAAATCTGAAAGATTTAAGAATATGGTCTTATTTAAAAATTTCAAAAATTGTATTTTGAATAACTACATTATTGAAATAAAAATAAGAGGTAAATCATCCTGATAATTAAACAATTAATATTTAGTTTACGATAAAAATAAGGTTTCTACTTTGTCTGTTTCAATTGATAATACTTTCTAAAACACTGCTAAAGTATAATATATTAGTTTTACTAGATACATTTATCTGATGCTTTGATATTTAAACATTTTTCCAGTGAATGAAAAGAATAAAAAATTACAATGATATAACTATAATAATTAAATTAATCAACACGACTGAGCTAATTACCATAAATTTCAATTTATTGTGTTTGTATTAAATAGTTCATTGAATTACCAACATCTTTAAATTTAAATTTTAAGTTTTAAAACTTATCAAATAAAGTATTAAATATTATATCACAATACTATAAATACATTTCAAAACACTAAAATTACAAATTGTACCTACAAAAAAATGTTAAAACTAGATAATTGAAATTTTAACAGAACGATAAATTAAAACATCGTTAATTGAAATCGTTGAGATATGTTTAAAGTAATTACATTTAATTAAATAACTTAATAATGAAACTATTTCTTTAATTTAAATATTTTTAAATATATAATATCAAAACTTACGAATTGTCCAGTTTAAAAAATGTCTATTATTTTCATAAAAATAATTATAGATTTAAAACATTGTACCCAAATTGTATGCAATAATTAAATAAATAATTAGCGAACTGTTGTTGTATAGAATTATTATTTTACAAATTTTGCAGCATTGATTAAAATCGATTTTGATACAAACATAAATTTTAGAAAAATCAAATAGTATTTAGGTTAAAAATATTGTTCTTATTATTTTATCTATTGATATTATTGAATAGGTTGATTAATAATTTAATCACTACCTTAATTTGTTGATTTTAAAGTAATGTAAAAAAATAATGTTTGAAATATATCTATATATTTAATTATTTTATGAGATTTAAAATTCTTTTTAACAAAATGACGGCAAAGAGATCGACAAATCAAATAAAAATGTATATTTGGAGTGCTGTTTATGTTTAAACTAATTTTTTTTTCTCAAAAAGGTAAAATAATGACATACGTAAGTAACTCATTTATTTAATAAAATTCTACATTTTATTTATACTGTATATTTGTAATACCTTTAAACGTAATATTATAACATTATGCATAAATTCTATTACAAACTTATACTTTGTGTAATTTTTAAAATCTGAAAATTATTTTATTCATCTTTGAACTCACTTCAAATATTTTATACTACATTATGAAAAATAAGCATTCAATGATAATAAGTAATATACCTGTTCACAGTTAAATATAAATTGAATAAATTATATTAAACGATAATATTCTTTCTAAATCAAATAATGTATCAATATCAATGATATAGCCTCAATAAAAAGCTAGTAAATATTGATTTTAATCGAAATAAAAAAAGTGACTAAATAACATTATATAGAACTGTTAAATAATATGATTAAATTATATTTATTTACTTCTGAAATATGTGCCGATGATCACATGAATAAAAAGACTAGTATACACTATACATATATCTAATAATTCAGTAAATCTGATTTATTGATTTTTTTTTTTTTTTTTTAATAAAAAAATGTATTCAGTTTATAGTGTAGTGAAAAATAAATGTTGTGTACAATCGTTATTGACTGTATAGAATATTTATTTATTACAATTTTTAAACTAATCATTTAAGTGATAAAAAGTAATATCAAGTAAAATTAAATAGATGTCTAAACAATTTAACACTGTATCCATCTATATTTTTAGAATTTAAAAATAAAATATGACGTTTTCGTTAGTATACGAAAGACAAAAAAATAATTATATAGCCGTTGTGTATACGAATTAATAAAATTATAGTACACCTTACTATATATTATATTGTATAATGGGTACACATAAGATATAGATAATAAGTCTTTTCATCGATCTCACTGTTAATTTTTAATTCAAATCTACACAATGATAGTGAAAAGAGATGATATTCTTATATACTACTGATGAAGAACTAAAAAGTGATAAGAAAATTGGCAAAATAACAAAAATTTAGTTTTATGCATATTTCAATCGTTTTAATAAGTAATTTAAAAAAAAAAAAGTCTATTAAGTACTTAATAATGTTATGTATATTGTATATGCATATTTTTTATTATAATTCATAGGTAATTTTTATAATTATATGTGGTTGCTTAAATATAGACATAAATAATTAACATAACAAGCGTAACTCAGCTTTTGAATTTAGAGGGAGAGCGGTGAAGTTTCACTTAAAATTATTATTTTTATACACTAATAGACATTTAAAATATGTTAAAATGTTTATTTTTAGTACATATACAATATAAATATAAGTTTTTCGTCACTAATCGCCATCTTTAATCAATAGTTTTTATTTTATTTTCCCTATCTACAGTATCATGCAGGTAGGAAAAATCGTCCCACATATTACTAATAATACAAATGATATTTTTAAAGTGCTATCACTATATAATAATATCACTAAAACAAAAATTATAAAAATATATATATAATGTGCCTACTATATTATTATGTCTAACAATATAGCCTAAATTATATAGCTGGGGCGAAGGGCAAAGAAGATATACCAAGTCATAGAAATTAACTTCTCAACTAGTAAAAAGTTTGTCCACGTGTAAAAACATTCACTATAATTAATTGATTTAGATATCTTTATTTATTATTTATTGTAATCGTTAACAAATTACTATAGTCGAAAATACCACTGTTGTTATAACAACTATTGTTTTAGTGTAAAAGTTTGTAGCGATATTTATAATCCATAAAACAATACTTTAAAAATTAATCTCATGAAAAAATGATTTTTGATTAAAAAATAAATAAATAAATTTAGTAAACCGTGCTACAGTTGTGTTACATGTACAGTACATAGGTATTATTTTCACTTACACTTCCTCAAATGCGTTTAAACTATTAATTATAATTGTAAGTAATGAATGTATTACACAGTATAATACCGGCCAACCACAAGCAAACGAAACGAAAATCTCTTAACATAAGACTCTATAAATCCTGACACCTTTTTAAATCAAATATCTCACTTAAAATTCATTTTTATCAGCATATTATACGTCCAATCTCTAATCATAATCAATAGTATCAAACTATGGAATATAGCTAAAATATAAAATATTAATAGCAAAATTTTAGTCATTCTAATAAAAATGCCATCGTGTCTATTAATAATATGGTCGATGATACTTTAGTGACTTCTATTTACAAATATATCTTAAAATCCTAAAGTTTTTGCACTAGTCACATAAATAAAAATATTACAAACAATTGTATACAAATACTTATAAGACACTTATATTTATTATATTTAACGTTTCTTCCATCAACCTTCCTGGGAATCCAATTCATCGTCAACTTACTTGTATGACATTGAAAAAAACCCATTATTCCTAGACAAATAAATAACTTCTTACACATTAAGATGAAATAATTAACTTATAAAATATATTATAATTATTATTATTATACAATAAATTAAATAACTATTTACGGTTTTTGGCTACGCGACAAAAAATAATTGTTTTTAATTTTTATTGGTAAATATTATGATAAAATATTTTAAAAATAAAATCATAAGTGATATAATGAACAAAATCAACTAAAATTCTAAATTTTGCATTAAAATACATTTATCTCTAAATAATATTAATTTATTTTTCGATGGATTCTTTATTAGTTATAAAAAAAAAATTTTTTCAAAAATAATAAGGTCTTTGCTCAATTCCACAACTCTATATATTGTATGTATTAAGAAATAAAGTACAGATTTTTGTTATTTACAGCATTAAACTTCATATTTTTCTACAGTTTTAACTATGAAATTATTTAATCAGAATAAAATTACAGATCTAATTTACTTCCAAACACTTAAAATTATTAAAATTCAGATAAATTTGTAATATTCTTATTTGATGAAATTGCATTTCCGATTTAAAAGAAACTATTAAGGTACTATTACAATATCACCATTTACCATTTTTTGTGTATACTGTAATGAAACAGTGTGCTTTATAATATATCATATATTATATAGATACTAATTCAAATGTCGTTAACTGAAATAATTTTTCATATGAATCTCACAAACTATGCCGAAAAGTAATAAACTTAATAATGTAAATAATGATAATTGAAAAATAAATTATTGCTGAAATTATTTTAATGGTAATGAATTACGACTAATAAAGGTACTTTACAAATTAATTCAATTAACCGTTACGTCAATTCATACAATGACCAATTGACGTTAACCATTAGTAAAATATAAAATAAAGTGAAATAAAACAAGTAATTTAGTTTATTGTAAGCTAGAGTAAATTAAATCGCTCAGATCCATATGATTACAAACATAGCCCATAGGTGATGACTTAAAATATATTGTAGCTGAAAATCACAAACTATTTTAATCATTAAATTTGTATGGCAATTTTATTAATCAATTTAAATTCAAAATATATGTCGTAAACACTCGTAATTTTATTTTTTATTATTTACTATTTATAACAGAACTTGGAGTTTATAGTAAAATAAGTTATAAAAATAAGCTAAACATATTCGCGAGATAAAAAAGTTCAATTTTTAATATTTTTAATTTTAAATTTATGTAGAACCTTGTACAACATTTTCAGGGTTTTTATCAGAGAAAAAACCTGTTGACATTTATAGAAAAAATGGGGTTTAAAAAAATATCTATAAATAACTTTAAAAAAATAAATATTTAATCAACATTTAACTGTATGTATAAAATATAAGCATTTAATGAAAATGTAAGATATCTGATATTTATTACTTATTTGTTTTTTAACTACAACAAAACAACAAAATTCGAGTGTTTGACACTTTTTTTTTATTTGTATTGTAATGCTATGTGGAAATTATATTTAAACAATAATTAATTGAATAGTTTTCATTCTAATATTCAAACCCCTTTCTTATACTTTGAATCACTCTTTAAAATAATTGTTTACAAGTATTCCAAAAGGTGATAACATACACCCAAATGTTTTTTTTTTTTTTTTACTTTTAAATATATTGTAATATATTATAGTAAAATTAATACATTAATCACTCTGCTCAGAATTTAATGTATATGAAAATATTAAAATTAAAATATTTTGAAATATACTAATAAGTAACATGAAGTTATTGAAATATGGAAAATATATAGGAAAAAAATTATATTTAAATTCTCGTGATTGTGAAACGAAAAATGGTTGAATGATTTGTGTCTTTTCTAAAGGCTAACCATAAGCATAAAAATCAACATGCGAAACCTAGATTTGAAATTTTGTACCTATTTGTGACAACCTTAAGCAATATATTTTAGCAAAATAAATATCCAAGATACATAAACTGTAATGATTTAATATTGATTTAGATACTTTAGCTAAAACAAAATAAAAAATACTCTTGAATTATATCTAAACCATTTTTAAAATTGAAGATATAAAACAAGTTAAAGGACTAATTTACAATGATAAGTTCTTAATAAACTTTTGAAATAATTAGTTATTTTTTTACATACAATGTACAAATATAATAAAAATATATTATTATATACATTAAAATCGAATTTTAAATCATAATCGTAAATATCATTTAATAAACCGTTTAAAAAAATATTTAAAAAAAAAAAAATAAAAATAATACCACGTTTACCACGTTGGACGCGTTATAACGTAATCATGTTAAAAGTGTTTCGTTTTAAAAATCCACAACAAATTTCTTATTATCTTTTAGAGGGTTAAAATAAAACAATTGAAAAGAATACTATCAAAGTACAATCCACTGCAAAATCGAGCGTTAATCGATGGATTATTGTTATACAATAATAAATGCTGCACCAGTTGACAGTTTAATATTTAGACGATTGCTACTTAATGATCGATATTTCAGATTTTCAATCAACTATTTTTCATTAGCTATTATACATCGATCTTCAAAGTATCGTATTCTAAAATTTTAATCTATTTAAAATTTTAAATGTAAAAACATTCACGTAACATACCTTGGCGTATGTGACTGCTTAATTAAAAAACGTTTATGACAAATTTATTACATATAATTTCTAAACGTTCGTGTACATCCGGGTTCACAAATTATTCATAATGTTAGACAACTTTGATGAAAAATCCGCGTTCGTTTAGAATATTGCAGCATGTATGCCTGTAATATGCATGCCATTCATAGATCACTGAATATCATTTTACACATTTATTTACTTATACCTACATGCTACATAGTGCATACATTTTTGTGAGAGGTGTGCTTCCTATTTTTTATAACATAAACAAATCACTTTCCACGTAAACTATTAAAATAATCGCTCAATACTCAATAATCATTACTCATAGTAAATCCTTTTTTTTTATAGTTACAATCATTTCATGAGTGAGATTTTTTATAAGTTTGTATTTTCACTCAATTCATCTTCGATAGTATTGCATTTAACCATTATTTCATGTATAATATAATAATGTAATAATAATCACCCATTGGCAATTATTATGAAATAGTCATTTATTTTACTTCTATATAGAGAGACATTATAAAATATGCAATATATTATATTATAACATCGAAATGTATAATATAACATTCAAATTGAAGTATACTTGTTTTCAATCGTAAAATTTGAAATATTGGTTTTATTCGTTTTAAAGATGTTTTCAAAACATTTAATCTAAAATATTAATGCGTAAATAAAATTAATAATACCATTGACCATGGTTTACTATCGAGATACAAAACATATTGTGTAGTTTTAATGTTTCTAATGTTTAATGTAAATTAATTTAAATCTGAACAATTTTAATAGGTAACTTGAAAAAACGTACTTAATAATATTTCGTCTAACTTTATACTTAAAATTTCGTACCTTAACATGTAAAAACCAATAGAAAGCGAAAAAATTATGTCACAATACTTATATTAAGTTAATTGTGTGTCATTCTTAATCTATTTGAACATTTATATATAATAAAAAATTATTATGAAATATGCATTTGTTTTATTACAAATATATTAAAATAAACTGCATAAATATTATTAATAATATAATAAGTATTTAAATAAACACTCAATGCAAAAATATTTGAAATAAAATTCTAAAGTCTATAAAATATTGATCAGATATTGATCCAAAAATATTAAAGCTATTCAAATAAATAACATGAAACAATTACACGAAATTTTAAATTTTTAAAAATGAACGATCTTATTTTTGTCGTTAATATCTTCTAAATAGAATTTATATTCGTTAGTTTTAACATTACTTTTGATAGTTATGTCATGATGAAATTGTGATATTTTTTTTTTTTTTTTTACATATTTTTGAATATTATAACATTTATAACTATACAAATGCGAAAATTTATTTTTATGGTATATTTCATTACAAATCATTTTATCACTGTACAAAATAAACTAAATGTAATTTAACTTATCTTATCATATCGTTACATACTCGTACGCTGAAGGTTACCGATAGTAAGATAAATATATAAATAATAAAATACTATACTGGATTATAATATACAGCTAAAAGTTGGTATGTGTTTAACCTAGTCATTGTCATATATCATGTATGGTGATACATTGCCTTGTTTTTTGCAAATTGTATTGGTTTCGTTACACAAAAGCATAAAATGCCAAAAATACAAAGTGCTAATAAAAACTTTGACAATACGTCGAAGAGTTTTCTAGTACAGTTTTTAAAACTTATGGAAAAACATTATTTTGTAATATTTGTGGCCAAACAGTCTCATAAAATAAGTGCTTTCAAGTAACTCGTCAATAACACATCTTAGTAATTCAACAAGAAAAGAAAAAAATGAAATACAATATTTATAAAAGACTTATTCGATGATTAAAACTCAGAATTTTCCCTTGATTTATGTTGTAAATTTTCAGCTTTTAATATTCCCTTATAAAAATTGCATATATAACTTTTAACATATTTTCACAAAAATATAGTGGTAATCATATTCTGGATCAAACTACAATTTGAAAAAAATGTGTATTAATTCTTTAAAAATAAGTAATTTACCGTATTTGTAAAGAAATTTAAGATAGCCCAATATATTATTATATTTCAATTGATGACAGTGGCGATTTTTTAAAATTTTTTTTGGAGAGAAGGTTCTTAAATCATTAAACATTATCTTATAATGTATAAAGACAGAAAAAAGTTTAACCCATTAATAAATACTAAATAAAATTTAATTCTTACATAAACGAAAAAAAATAACATAGCATTTTAGTCTTAAGACAAAATCATGTTATCATGTTCAATGGGTTTTTATACGTTAGAAGAATTGCTTGCATCGGAAAAACATTGTTTGTGATATTCAAGAGAAAAATGCTTATTAAAATGTTCAGCTGTATCTGTATGTATAATTCCAATTATCAAACTTTTTTAGTACTAAAAGCTGCTTAATAATTGAAATTTGTTCCACCTTCGTTTTTGGAAAATGCTATATAAAACTCACAAATTGTACCATTTTCTACAACTGAATATGTCAACTAAGAAAATTGCCAAAGATATTGAAATTTAAGATTCTTAACCTTTTCACAAATTTAAGTTTTTGTAGGAAAATTAAAATGAATTTCGGGTTTCCAGAAGTTATTTAAAACATTTATTAAGCCGTTTTGATCAACATTTTTATTTTTGTAGAGTGCTATATTAAATGGAGAGTTAGAGATCAGTGCAAGAGAGTCCAACTGAGGTTTTTTTAGAATAAGTAGAAACATTTGATGATGGAAAAGCAGATCTTTTATTTGTTGATGGTATCTCTTTCTCATTAATGTATGACGAATTAGCCAAATCTGAAGATTCAATATTGTCGAATGTTGATGTTGTTTTGAAGAAATGTGTAATACACATGGTAATATGTATCATATAATTTTAGATAGTTGAAAAATAATAATAATAAAGTGTAAGACTATACGTATTTTACTTTTTTTTTATATAACCTTATAACTTTTACACAGTTATAATAAGTGTTTAATAAGTAATTTATAGCTTACAACTTTAAAAAAAGTATTTTTAAACTTTATTAACTTGTTTGTAAATTATGTAACAATTGTTCAGTAATGGTTCATAATACATATAGAATCTAAAATCAAACAAAAACTTTTATTGTTTATAGATAAACTGAGTAAAGGATATTTTAAGTAAGAAAATATATATTTCGATGACTATAGTTTCGCTAAATTTTAATTTGCTTTCTGTTTAATGAACAATTTAAACACTAATCTCATAATACATTTGTTAATAAAATATAACATATAAATTAATAATAATGTAATTATTATAAAAAACAAAAAACCGTCTAATAATAAATATTGGTACCATGCCAATCTCACAGCTGTGGTTTGTAAATGATGAGCTCCTTTATGTCGTATAACGTATTCCACCCAATAAACCGCCGTATCAAGTGCTGACATTGGCCTATCGTGAAATATTTTGGACATATTTTTCGCATTTTTTGTAAATCTAAAGTAATTTTAAAATAACATAGTATTAGAAAAAAGGAAATTTTTACTTAATATTTGTTTGTAATATTTAATATATATAATTATATGTAATATATATTATATAAAATTAATATAATATGTTTATAGTTCACATACACAAAACTACTCAATCGATTTTTACAAAAATGTTAAATTGTTAAATTTTTCTTGAAGGTATCAAAAAAATTTTAAGAGTATAGTTTGAACTATGGTCAAAAATATACCAAATACTAATCCAATTCACTACAGGCCAACTTGTATATGAATGTATATTCATTTTAAATCATAAAATATTTTGAATCCTTATTAATCAACAATAATTTATTGACCCCAAATTTCATTAAATTCTCTTCATTAAAACTTAAAAGCTACGCATGGATCCAGTTTCCACGGTGTTCCCTTTGCATGAAATATTTCAATATTGCTTAAATTATAATATGATCTTTAAACAATACAATTTTCAAAAGAGTCATAATAATTTTAAGCTATTTATATACATTTTACATTTTAAAATGTGTTTAATTTTTATTCTATACAAGTATAAATGAACAAAAATTTTAAAATGCAATACAACTTTTTTCATAGACTGTCATATAGATAATTTTATCAATGAAGAAGAAGAATTAGAAAATATTAAAAAACACAATTTTTTTTCTTCTTGTAACGTAAAAATACTAAAAACTACTAAAAAAATAACTTCGATAATCCGATCTTTTTTAATCAGGCTATGTTAATATTTTTCTCCATAATATAGTATTAATTATTAGTTTTAACTTAATGAAATAATGTTGCAATAACTAAACGTAACTAACTCAAGTTAATGTTTTTAACCTACTTATCCACTCTCTACAGAATAACCAATATTATTATACTTGATACGAGTATCACACAATAATTGTATAGGTACATTTGTTTAGTAATATCATAGAATACTTGCCTCATATCAGTTAATATTAGCTTAACGTCTCTTTCAAAAGTATCTTCTTTCAATGTATGAAAATTGCTAATTATCCCAAAGCCATTTTCTTGACTAATTTTTAAATTTTGGAACTGATCCCCAAAAACGGGAAACCCGATAAACGGAATTCCAGCGTCAATTGTTTCCATTAGGCCATGAACTCCTCCGTGTGTAATAAAAAGCTTGCAATTTGGGTGCCCTAAAGTTAATAATATTTAAACAATTAAAAATATCTTGACCATTTAAAATGTTATATGATTTATTACTTAGAATGTTTAACTGTGGAAACCAAGAGTCGACGTAAAAATTATCTGGAAAATTTCGTGTGTCGTTATTTGTCCATTTAAACAAAACTTTTTGTTCCAGTCGCCCCAAAACATTTATCAAAACTTCCAGCGAAGGCTTCGGTAGTTTAGCCACATCTAATATAGTACCAAAATTTAAGTACACAACTCCAGCTTTAGCTGTATCCATGAAGTTCTGTAACGTCTGCAACACAAAATAAAATATATATTTGGTACGTTACAAAAACTCAAATCAAAACACAGTACCTTACTCATTTTCTTTGTAGGTTGTATGTGAATACCGGGAACTTCGATGAATTTCGGAACGTAAGGTCTTGGGCCAAGAATTGCTACATCAGAATCTATTAGACCGAGTGATATGTTTTCCAACATATCTGTTATGGATGGTCTGTCTTCATATCCGGGGTATTGAAAATATGTATCCATTAGTTTTTCTAGTTTTGGGATGTACGTGATTGGTTCAATAAACAGACTGTATAAACCAAATAAAGTATTAAGTAATCGATTTTGGAAGTTAAGTGATTTTCCAGAGTTCAACTTGAAATCTTTAATATAAGAAAAATCTGAGGGATTGGCAGCATGACGAGAAACGGTTACAAAAGGCGCCACCGGAACGATACTAACTACTGGAGCATCATATTTATGACCCATGGCTACGGTACATTCTTGGAAAAACGATTCTATTATCACCAAATCAAACTTGGTTTGATCTTCTTTGATAAACCTTTGTATCTCTGGAGCTGACACATAAGTTTCAGTGATATCAAGAGTAATTACATTTCGCAAATATATGTCATCCAATAAAAATAGATATTTGTAGCTATCTCGCACAGCATCCATTACTAAATAAAATAAAGCAATTTAAAAATTAAAATCTTATAATTGTTTAAATGATAATGTTACAAACAATTAACTGAAAAGAATTATGAATCACTGAATAAGGCAATATTGATGTGATTGTATTTCAGATATCAATGTACATAATGTAAATAGGTAATATAAAAAATAAAATTATAAATAAAGAACAAATGGTAATGTTACTAAATTATTCATTGAAAAATAGACACATTGTCTTTTATACTTGATAAACTAAAAAATAATTATTGTATTTACTAATAAAATATTTTAAATTTAATTTTTTCAGTAGTCTTATATATATATAAATATATTTTTTTAATTACTTGGTCCAAGATTTATCTTATATTTGGGTACAATTTGTGTATAATTAATCGGTGGATTTTTTACAGCAAATGTTGATACCACTGTTACATTATGACCTCGGTTTGCTAGTTCAAAAAACAATGGTTCAAACGACACAATATGACTCTTCCAAGGCGAAGGTACAAAAATCAGTATATTTGAAGATTCTGTTTCAGAAGTATAATGAACTGCTACAAGTAACAATATCGAAATAAATTTCATTTTTATTTTATGTTTCCAAATTCTTCTTTGTTAATCTGGACTTAGTTATTAGATAACATGTTTGATGTTATCATAGTATACCTATTGAAATAAAATTAATGATTATTTTGAATTATTTTATATCATCATACCAATAATGCAACCAGGATTTTTTATGGGAGGAGGGGTTCCAAAAATATAATGATTTTAAAATAGCAATCAAATTTAATTATTATTTTATTATTTGATTCATATAAAATTTATTATAATTAAATGTAAAAATAAAGGTGTAATAATAATAATTTTACGGTATCATTAATGTTTATAAAATGAAATCTAAGCAATGTTTTGTATAACTTACATGATGCGTATTACTTTCTTAGGTTAAGTTAGTGTTTTAATTATCACTATATCACAGAAGCTCTACTCAGTACTGAATCGAATCAATTATTCAATTTTTCCAAATACTTTTATTATTTTAGAAAGATACGATATGGTTTAAGGGTGGGGAGGGGTCCGAACTCGAAATTCCTACCTACTAGTTTGCGCCACTGCATTAAACTATAAACAATACGGTATTATTTTAACTGTCGTTTTTATATTTACAGTCATCTCTTTAAATTATATTAGTTTAATATAGTTTAGATAGTTTTATGTGATAGATAATTATTTAACAATGATGAATAAGAATACAGCTTTTAATGATTTAAAAGAAAATCTAAAATTATGTTCATTATGATAACAGTTTATCAAAGTGTATAGCATAATACTGTAAAAGTATGATAAATCGAATGTTTAATGATTATAAAAGCAAGCATTATTGTCAAATTATTTTAGATATACCTACTTTAAATACGAAAATAATAAGTTATTACTTTGTAATCATTGAAATCTTATCGTATATCAGAGATCTTTTTATATTATAAATAATCATTAGTCTTAACTTTTATTTTAATTTCTTAAGAATAATGAGCCATGATACAAACATGCATGTAAACAATTGAAAATAATTAAGTTATATAAAATAATCTAAAAAAAAAGTATTTATATCTTTATTAAAAATAAAAAACAAGTACTTATTCAAATTAATCTAATTTTTAGAAAATATCATCTGTTGATTTAAACAATATTATAAATACTTACATTTAACTAGTTGGTATAGCTAAAAACAATTGTATAGTAAGTCTTTAACCAAAACAAAATTGATTAAATTATTTTTTACAACATATAATTTTTATTAAACTAACATTAAAAATGTAATCATAAAAACTTGAAAATATATACGTTTAAAAAAGAAAAGTGATGTTTTCAAAACAACAGTTACATGAATACTGTTACAAACGTGACCTGGAATAGTAGGTCAGATCTCTTAAAACTATTATTAAATAATAAGACCTTGAAATATATTTTTGATTATGATTAATATTTTTATTTTTTTTTTTTTAATTTAAACCACAATTGAATAAAAATAAATCGAAATACTTACTATTTCTACTAAAAAATGACAACTAAATTCGATTTTCTCATATGATAATAATTAAAAAATGTATAAATTATAATATAAACTCATTTTTTGTATACACAAACATAATATATGAGAAACATGGATAATTACCAATAAAAGATTAAAATCAAAATCTTATAACTCCCTATTTCTGTATGATATATAAAATTATGTATAAAATATATTTTTATTTTTATTTTTTTTTAATAATAATACATGGATGTTTATAAAATAATAAAGAAATTATTACCAGTTGCTTGATTAAATCGAAAGCCACCAAGGTTGGTGTATAATTGAGTTGCACAAGTAGGAATGTAGGAATAACAACTAACAACTAACTTGTCTTTACTATAGTTATATATATATATATATATATATATATATATATATATATATAATCACAAGACCTAACCTAAACTAACCTATACACAACCAGAATACATAGAAGTGTACTTTTATGTAAAACCAGAATTTATTAATTTAAAATACCATGATATTTTTTTTAAGGTAAACACTTTTTTCAAGCTAATTATTAATAATTTTAAAAATGTTTTTTCGCATATTTTTTACTGATTTAATAAAAGTTTTAAGTTATAAACTTATAACATATAAGTATTTAAAAGTTCAGAAAAACAATGTTATGGGCCGTAATTTTATGGAGTACCCAGGTGCTAATTAGCCCATGTGGTACTATTAAGTTATAATTTTATAATTAATTAGATACTCGTTTAATATTTGATTTTTAAATATTAAAATTCCTTGCAAAAATATTTGGCTTTTGAATATAAAATTATAATTACCATTTAAAAAAACAAATACCCAAAAACACTTTAAAAAGAAAAGCAATATTTTGATTGTGCTGAATCAAAAAAATAAAAATAATTATAATATTACATTAAGTAACTATTTTGTTTCGTCACTATAATAGTTGTGTAAATATAATTATCATTTTTTAACAAATTTTAATTAAATATCTGATTATGATTAGTAGTAGACAACAGTTTGGTTATGTATTCTTTTTTTATAAATACGTATTTTACACGATAGTTGTAGGTAAATAAATAGTAGATTCTATTAATTATTGTAGTTTAAAATAATTACGAAAAAAAACAATAATATACAATTTTTCATATTGTTTTGTAAAAACTATAATAATTAGTCTATTAAACTGGTTCATCCTATCAATCTTGAATTTTTCAATTGATGAAAATGAGTTCAAAATTCAAGTTTTTTTTCAAAACTAGCCATGCGTAGCTTAGAATTGAATAAAATCATCTAACAATAATTATAAATCTTTAACTCACTACATAAAAAATTTTATAATAAACATAATATTATGCTCAATTATAGTGTTTTATTTTTAAAATATAATTTTTACTTATATACATCTAATATTTCTTGTATGAAATGTACAATTTCACTTTAAGAAACATTATTTATAATAATAATAATTTAACACAGTGATTTACCTGTGGTCCGTGACCCCCTATGAGTCCATAATACTCATGTCAAGGGTCTGCGATAAATTTAACACATAAAATACGTCAATGCATGACAAAAGTACATTACAATATCATTGCATTTTTATTTATTTTTATGTATATATATATAATATATCTTTTTATAAAAAATGTTAAACATATTTTATTTTATTTTATTTTATTTATATTACTTTTTATGAGAAATTAAGTGTAATAAATTTTTTTATGATAAAATGAGATATTTTGTAAAAAAAAAAAAAAGTATTCGAAAAAAATTGATAAGAGAGTCCGCGATTTCTAAAAACATTTGATCAGGGATCACGGATCTATAAAAATTTAAAAATCACTGATAATATACATGTATTATATCACACAAAATAAAAATATTTTAGAAATAATAATAATAATAAATAAAAAAAACATGTCAAAGCATTATAATACTATTGTAAGTTTTTCTTTTTACCAACTTCTTAGTGATGCATATTTGTTAAGTGATCGTAAATCGGGAGGCATAGATTTAACTACTCTACTTGCTTAAAGTATATGAAAACTAAATTAGTAGTAAAACTTTCATACAACGAAATCTTACAAGTATAAACAAAAAATCATATCATAGAAAAATTTGGTAAGCAGAATTTAACAATATATATTTAATTTCAAAAATATTTCGTTAAACAGAAATTAATTATAATATTATACAAGTGTAACAGTAATTTTAATTTTTTGTAAGCAATGCAAATTTGAAATTACGTATGTATTGCCAAATACTACTGTCAGTGTATAGTATTATCGATCAACAGGAAAATTTGAAGGAAAACTTGGTCGCTTTGTGCAAAATACGAATATATTAATGTTAAAAATAAGATTATTATTTCATGGTGTATGAGACCAGTGTGACCAGCTCTAAAACAGCTTAAAATTTTATTTTTTTACATGATACGCATGGTTTAATAGCTATAGACAACGATGCCAGATTTTTAATGCCAGATGACATAGGAATCCATTTTGAGGTACCGTGGTTAAAAATGCGAAGTTTTATTTGATATGTTTAGACATTTTTTGCCTGTGACAGATTTATGCGTTTTTCTATTTTATTAGGCGTAATATTTAGCATTTTTTTGGACAAAAATTTGATGAAAAGTACAATAATTTAAAACTTAACCTAACCTTTGCATTATTTAAAATATTTGAACATTGTTCCAACGTAAAATTGTTTTTAAAAAAATATAGTAGTTATTATTTAATTCGGTTAATCGGTGTATCGTACCCACATTAAACAATTAGTGCAATTAGTGAAAAACGTGTAATATTAAATAATCTTATCTTCTTGCTACTTTTAAAATAGTTTATTCTTGACTATTTCAGCCTCTATTTTTTTAATCTACATAATTAAAATCCATAATTTTAGATTTGTAGTTCATATAAATGCATATTTCTGAACTTTTCAAGACATATTTTCATACATATTTTGCCAGATTTTAGTGCATGCGTACATGCTATTGTTTAGGAACTTTTTTAGGGCATACAATTCTAGTTATCACTATTATGTTTATGACATAATCGACATTATACATAAATAACAGTATAACAATATACATAATACAAACGACAATTTTTTTATAATTTCTAAAAATTTTAATCAGTTTTCTGTTTGTGGAACAAATTCAACATTAATTGCATAATCCGTTTAGTAATAAAATATAAAATACAGATGAAAAATAATAAAACTAATATAATAAATACTACAACATCTAATAAATAATAATGGTACCACGTTAAATCGACTGCTGCAGAACGTAAATGATGAGCTCCTCCATTTCTGATAACATATTCCACCCAATACACCGCCGTCTCAAGAGCTGACATCGGCCGATCATGAAATATGGAAGACATTCTTTTAACATTTTCTGAAAACCTTTAAAAACATTCCACAATAATAACAATTTTACGAAAAATTTAACGTTTTTAAAATAGACGTCATAATATATTTATAAATACAACTACCACAATTTTTATTATACCTGTGATATTACCCTGTTAAATATTTTAAAACTCAAGTTTTATTTTATTTTAATATTTTAAACATTAATTTATTTATACTTTGTATTTGTTGTATTAAACAAGTCATTATTTAATAGTAATACAAACTGGGAACTTTAATAAATACATATACATATTTGTATATATAATTATTAATTTCAAAAATAATTCTGATCTTTAAAAGTTTAAAATTAAATATAATTTTTTCAAATATTTTACATCACAAATCTCAGTTAGATTTTAACCTAAAAAAAGTTATATAAACTTATATTAAAGTTAATTAAGCAGTTTTTTTTTTAGGAAAAAAAATGTATTTCTTATTTTATTTTTGTATTTTTAAAATAATGTTAAATTAGCTTATTCAACACTTTAAATTAAATTTGGAAATATTTAATCGGTTGCATTTTACATTGTTATGATATGAAAACAACAGATCAATTAATAAATCCTTTCTCATCAATATTTTTTTTTATATGTAGATAATCGCTTATTTAAGAAATACAAATGCTTTGTTGAAAGCAAATGAAAAAAAATGCTTGTCAGTTCTTTTAAAAATAACAATAAAAAACCATCAAGCAAAAGCAGAAAACTTGGAATATCACCACAACTCTGGTTCCAATAAAACTGATTTTATTTTCGTTGCTGTTATTAATAATAATATAACCATAGAGACTTATAATTTTTCCCATTTTGAAAAAACTTATCAAAATCAATAACATGTACGAATAATTTTTATTTAAATATTTACAAATTTTTTTAATTTTAATGAGTAATAACTAAGATTAGAAATATAATACAACATTTCTTATAAATTATTCTTATTGGAATTCAAAAAAAATATTTTAAAATAAAACCATATTAATGGCATATGAATATTTGAACTATAACTGTTGGTGAAATTAGATATTCATCAAATATATAAAACGATTTATCTTCGAATGATTTTCGTTATTTTATTAAAATTCAAGAATCATTTAGAAACTTAACACATTCTATTAAAACCAAAATAATAAAATATCAAATAAGAGCAATAGGGAAATAAACAAAAATTTTTTATAAAAGTACAGTCTATTCAATTTTCAATTTATAATGTTGGTGAATTCTTTAGCGTTTATTGCAGGCCCAAATGTATTAAATTAAAAACTAATACTACTGAGATATTAAGATTAACTTAACATAAAAAAAAATCGCTCGAAAATTCAACAAAATTGAATAATATGGATTTAAATATTCTCTCAGTTAGACATTTAAAAAAAAATGCTTTATTGTTCATAATAAAAAAAATAATTAATCCCAGTCAAAATTTAGTAGATTTTTCTCGGATAAGAGCACATAGGGCATACGGTATACCAGTGAAATATATTAAAAAATTCTTTGGGAAATCGTTTGTAGACTATTTAGGTACGTACTAAGTACTTTAACGAAATGACAATTCTATTAAAAAAAAAAAAAATAATAGTATTTATTGTGGGCAATTAAATAATAAAAAAAGAAGTTTTTAATTGTTTTTTTTTTAGAACTAAAAATTTCTTAGTAAGACTACATTCTTGATGTTGTTAGTTTTTATTTTATTTTGTTCATTGATAGTTGTATATACCTACTGTTCGTTGAAATAATTAAAATAGATGAATAACAGAATCAGTCGATATTGCTATATATATTATATATATATATATATATTGTTATATCTACTGTCAATCTAACATATTGTAATATAAATATGAAATATTATCTGATAAATTCATTTTTACTTTATTTCTATATAATGAACAATAGAAATGTTAACTGTTTACTTATCGCATGCTTAGACTTAAAGAAGAAGTTTTATTCAATAAACTTATAAAGAAATTTATTAATAAAAATAAAATTGATTAGAAATACTCAAGTATGTATTTGTATTTGAAGAAAAATTGAATAATTAAAAATCTTTTAATGTATTTCTTTCTCTTAAAAATGTGTGTTTAACTTAACTTGAGATTTTTACATAGCCTACAATGCTACAACACCCAAGTAAAAGTTTTATAAGAAATAAATAATTTCATGTACCTATATAGAAAATAAAAATAATGAAAAATAAGAAAAAAACATAATGGTGCCACAATAGTATTTTATTATACTATATGTTAATAATTCATGGATTATACTCCTCAATAATTTTAAATTAAAAAATTAGTTTTATATCACAATAGTTAGAATATTAATTTTTATTTATACTTAATAAATTATTTTTTGTCACCAAATATTTTAAATAAAGTATAATGTTTAGTTGTATCTAATAATTTAAAAGTAAAAATCCATTAAAATTAATTTTTATAGTAAATATTAATTTATAATAAGTAATTTAAATTAATTAATCCAAAAGTATTATTTTTTTCATTTATCTTTTTGAACCAATGCATACAAATTGATACATTTAAATTAACTTAATTTAATGAAATAACAAATACTATATTATAATAGCAATATTTAATAATTAAATTATATTTTATTCACAATTACTCACTTTTTATCATTGATTATAAGCTTAATATCTTTTTCAAATGTTTCTTCAGTCATTCTAAAAATATTACTCATAATGCCAATTCCATTTTCTTGACTGATTTTTATGTTCTGAAACTGATCTCCAAAAACCGGAAATCCAATAATTGGAACCCCAGCATCTATTGTTTCTATAATACCGTGGACTCCTCCGTGAGTAATAAATACTTTACAGTTTGGATGATCTAGAACAAATTATATTCAAAACATAAATTCTTTACTAGATTATTATTCTCAAATAAAGTGTTACTTAGGATTTCCTTTTGCGGAAGCCAAGAATTGACATAAAAGTTGTTTGGGAAATTTCGAGTATCATTATTAATCCATCTAAATACAATCTTCTGTTCTAATCGACCTAATACATTAATCAAACTGCGCATAGACGGCTTAGGTATACTTGTCACATTCAATATAGTACCGAAATTGAAATAAACAACGCCCGTGTTAGCTTTGTCCATAAATTCTTGTAATCTCTATTTACATAAAATACCGCGTCTTAGATAAAACTATAAATAACATTTATGATTTGGAAGTTAAAAAAAAAAAATGAAAATAATTACTAGCATAAAATATAAATCAATACCTTATCCATTTTCTTGTTAGGTTGCATGTGGATACCTAATACTTCAATAAAACTCGGAACATAGGGTCGTGGACTAAAAATTGTCATATCAGAATCAATTAGACTAAGAGATATGTTCTTTAGCATCTCTGCCATTGTAGGTCTGTTTTCGTATCCAGGATATTGGAAATAGATATCCATCATATTTTCCAACTTTGGAAGATATGTAATGAGTTCGACAAATAGAGAATAAAATCCAATACAGCTATTTGTGAATTGTTCCCAGAAAGTCAGAGACTTTCCACCATCTAACATAAAGTCTTTAATATATGACAAATCTGACGGATTTTTTGCCCATCGAGATACACTTATCCAAGGAGGTACGGGTACAAGTGAAATTACTGGTGCTCGGTATTTATGTCCCAACGCTACAGTGCACTCTTGAAAAAATGATTCTATAATGACTAAATCAAACTTTGATTGATCATATTTAATAAATTTCTGTATTTCTGGATCTGATATAAACATATGTGTTGTGTCGACTAGTACTGTGCTACGTGTTATTGGATCTTCGATAAACGTGTAATGTAAGCCTCGTTCATGCATTAAGAAATCTGATCCTAAAAATTAATTATTCAAATATGTGAAAACATAATTCAATAGTATTTTATATTTTTATATATTTATCAATGATATTTTTTAATAATTAATATCAATACAATTTAATAAACAAATATTTTCTTAAGATGACGCCGTACAAGGTACTACACAATATATTACGCATAACATAACATAACAAATTTTTCTTTCAGATGAATTTACTTTACTCTATTGTTTTTTTCGTATATTTCAGTAAATTGACTCACTGTTGAATTTAATAGTGAGATTCCATCATAAGCTCTATATATTTTTATTTTAAAGCAAGTTATGATGATTTTAAAATGTATAAAAATTCAAAATACTGGTAACTATTGTATCAAAATTAAAATATTGTAAAAATCTAAATTGGATCATGGATAATAATTTTACTTTTAAATTCACTATGGTATTAAAAATAACAAAATATAATGGATTCTTCTGGCTGTAAAATTGTATACGAGAAATACGACATTCTGAAAAATAAATTTAACTTACTTCCTGTAATATTAAAATCGTAAGAAGGAATCAATTGTGTATACGTTGGTGGTGGATCATTAACAATAAATTTTGATACTACTGTAACATTATGACCACGATTTGCTAATTCCAAAAATAATGGCTGGAAAGAAGTAATGTGACTTTTCCATGGCGATGGTACAAAAACAAGTATATTCGAACTTTTTATCGCATGAACATAAAAGTTTAATAAAATTACCAATATCGTAATGTATTTCATAATTGTGTTTTATTTTATATACTTGGTTTTCATTTGCAACCTGAAAGCATTATAAAACCATATGTAATATGTATATTTATTAATGTTATTAAAATGCACCTATAAAGCACTCACTAGAAATGTTAGCTACAGATACCTATTTTAAAATAAAATGTGCAACAATTAATTATAGTACAATAACAAAAAAAAGGAAAATAGTTTATAAACGCAGAATATATACACATGAACTCATTTTACTCTTTTCAGCGTATAATTTTTTTTAAAAAAATTATAAATTTGAACACATTGATAAACCATTATCATTGAACTAAAAAAAATATTTTGAACGAATATCCATTACCATAATACGAATAATGTTAATACCAAATAACCGTTTTGTGTAATCGAAAAATCCATAATTTTATTTTTATCGAAAACTTTACTGACTCAAAAATGCTTTAACGCATTTCAATTTTTGATAATTTTTACAATTTTAAGAATTAAATTTATATCTGTAAGTTTAAAAATTATAATAATTAAAATATAAATAAATAAACTACATTAAATTTACTTTTTTAATGAAAACCCATATTTTGTGTTTCATATATTTTTTGAACATATTGATACATAATGAACTAATTTAAATAATTATTTCTAAATAATAACACTCTAATGGATAATATTTTTAAAAATAAAATAAAATAAATAGAATAAAAAAATTATTCCCGGATAATAAAAATTAGAAATAAAATTTTCATAAATTATTGGTACATACCACTATAAAAATATAATACTTATATATAATTTATTAATTTGTATAATATTATAGAATATAGGTATATCAACATAAAATAGACAATAGAAAAATTAACTTTACTTTTACGATTGTTTAGATTTTTTGTACTCACTATTTTATTACATACTTAGTACACTTCAACCATACCGGATATTTTACCATTCACGTTTTTACGATATAAAAACTATTGCGACATTTCGTTAATTAATTATATACTAAAACTATTGGCAAAATGAACAGAAAAAAAAACACACACACATAAAATTATTGTCACTGATCATATAACGAATACGTCTGTATAGTTCTATACGGTGATACTCTCTGATGTAGTCATGATATTTTAATATTCAAGGTTAAAAATCTACAATCCCGCACAGTATACTTGCGCGTGTATCAACGAGAAGCATTACTAAATGTAAAATAAGTTTCAATTTAAAGCAATTAATCTGCTTTTTCTATAGCAGAGAAACTGAAAAAACGTATTAGCTATAGTATGTAAAATTAACCCACATACTTATCTACGTTACATGGGTATTAATTAACTAAATTCTGATACTTAATTGCATTTATATTAAGCGAACAACATATTATCAATATATTTTACCTATTTGTTATATGTAATAGTAAATTATTTCGTTAAATGTTGAGTATATAATATAATAAAAAAAATATTATTATGAAATTTAAATAGTTATATATTTTGAATTTAATATAAAGAGATAATAGGTTTAAGTAAAATAAATATAATGGAATATTATTTAATTAAAAATTATACAAAAATGATGGGTATTTAGTATTTATAACTGAAGTATACATTTCTAGTTAAACATGGACGATATCTAGTGCATTATATTTTAAACATGGAGTGGATATAAGTGTACAACGGAAAATATGATTACCTTGAAATTTATTTAAATTGTATCCACATCAAACAATAGTTATATAATATAATCTAATAGATACATAATTGTTCAGAATTTAATAGTTTCATAATATTATATCGATATAATAAATCAAAATAAATAACACTTTAAATTTTATAAAGCACAAAATACATAAAGAAACAAATTAAAAAAAAAAAAAAATTAAAAAATTAAATTATTAAATATATAATAAATTTACCATTACAAAGTTATTCTAATTAACTTATATTGTTACAGTATACAGAATATATTGAATATAAAAAACATACCATGAAAACCCTAAAAATAACTATAGTAAATCTAATCCTAAAAAATACTTATAATACGTACTTTGGAAAAAATAAATTAAATTTTCTTTAGAACGGTGGATGTAATTATTCAAGGCACGAATGGCGTCATATCAATTTTTTTTTTATTATGTCTCACTGTCTTACAGTACCTTTTTAATAAAAAATTAAGCCATTAAAAATCAAGCAGCATTTTATAATTCAGTAAAAAAAAAAAAAAAACATATGTACATTGTTCACAAATGTATCATTAATGAACTTTTATTTTCAATATTAACAAGTATTAAAATAAAATAAAAAAATAAAACTACAACTGATAAAACCAGATGGAAGCAAATTGTGTATGTGTGATCAGTGCATATTTATTTTTATTATATAAATTTCAAATGGTGACTATTATGGTAGGGGAAATCTAACTTTAAATATTTAAAAAACATTGACCTTAATCAGTGACAAATATAATATTAAAAGACATTAATTATTATTATCATTTACTACAATGACTTATTATGATTATTAAATAATAAATAGCAGCTATCTTCAAGGATCTTCAATCTTAAAATTTGAAGGTTGTTTTTAATACAAAATTGGATTGAGAATGTACTTTGGGAGATGAATAGTTCCCAGTATTTTTCAGCATAATAAGATAAAATAAAAAAAAAATACGAAAAAACGGGAATATATCCACGCAAAACCAGTTTTATTTTCTATTTATAATTCAAAAATAAATAACCATAGTGACTTTAAATTTTCATCAAACATTTATGTTGGCACTTTCTAAGTAATATAGGTATAGTTTTCAAGATATTTTAACTCTTATTATGCTATTTACTATTTATATACATTGTACAACGATATATTTATTATGTGCATTAATAACAAAAATAAATTGATTGAAGTATTTGTTTACACTCTCATAAAACCATAACAAATAGTTTTTATAAATACGTTAAAAACTAGTTATGTAAAAAAAGACTTAAACGTAAACATATTATTACAAAATTATGAACGATCATTTATATCAAATTATTAGTATGAAACTAATAATGTGTTATTTTTTAGTAGTATATTATGATTAAATCGTAAAATTTAAATTTAAAACAAAAATTCTAATTTATTCATATTGACATTGATAATAGACAATAATATCAAACATCCGTGTACTTAGTTATACATCGATAATAAAAAAATTATTTAAATATCAATATCGTATCACCATATTTTTTTTATGTATTTCAGTCTTTAGTTTAACAAAATAATTTTAAAAAATATTCAACAATAGGTACCTTTAAAATTAAGTTAAATAGGAACATTAAATTGTATTTTATATTGTTGCGAATATTTTAGAATGATCGCTTTAATCCATCAATTAAAACGGTGATAACAAATAGGTGTTTATTTACCTGCTTATTTATTATTTAAACACCACATTATACAGCAAGACAGTAAAACGTGTTAACGATGATCACTGTAATCACTAAACATAAAGCGTTCGTAAGTCGTAAAACATCCTTTGAATAATTTATATGGAACATATAAATACCTCTAAATGGTAATTATTCCTATTTGACCTATTACTTTGAATAAATGTAAAATAACAATGTAATAAAACGTTTAAATTAATTTTTGAATACAATTTTAGAATTAATACAATTTCTATCTATATTCTGTATTTTTGTCTTCATCAGATTTTCAAACTAAATTAGCATCAATACGACAAGAACTAATAAGAACTTAAAATAATAAAATATATTAACGGTTACTTTAATAAAACTATGATCAAAGAACAATAAATCAAATTTCAACCATATTTTTTTTAATTTTTGTTATCTTATGAAAACTGTTATATCGCAGTTATAAATTTAAAATATTTACCAATTAGAAATTGATTATACTTAAAAAAATATTACAATTACATATTTTTATATTATAAATTTATTTGACATTACCTAGTTCCTATTATATTTATATTATATTATAATAAATGTGAAAATATATTTTTTTATAAATATAGTTATGTATATGCAATAGTTTTTTACCATATTTGTTTACGTTAGTAATTATTTTTAAATTTATATTTTTGTAGTTATTAATTTATTATCATAAGAAAAAGCCAAACAAATATAAGTAAGTACGCATTTATAGTACATTAAGTTAAATCAAATCAAATTTAATTTAATGTTTGTTTGCGTGCTTATAAAAACCTGAGATAACTCATATAAATATTTAAAAGTTAAATTACTATTTTTGTTGAGTATTTAAACATTTATGTAGTTAAGATGTATTAGTACACCGTATTATATATTATGGTTTAAACGTTTAAAGTGTATACAAGAAACTAAGAAAGAGAAAAAAATATTAATTGATAATCTGATATTTCGGGCCGTACATGGTTTACATTATGTTATGTATGTAAAAATCATATCACCATACATACCTATAATATATTATGTAATAACTTTGTTTAAAAATTCCACACGTACACGTTTAACATAATATTGGAAATGAATTTTTTTATGTTATTGGTATAAAAACCTATTAGGTACATAATAACTATAATTTTGAACACTCAAATTTTTTTATAATTTTATGAAAAGGCTCTTAAAAGGTTGAGAAGACTGTTATCACTCAATAATTACTGATAAATAACTATTTGTCTGAAAACCATCTACATATTAATGATATTTTCTAGCCAATCACATGTATAGCTTAAAATGATAAATTTATTACAATTTACTGAATATTGATATTAATTCCTAGAATTAAGTTTTTAAAAAGTTAGATACACACAAATAATTGAACACACACGGCACACCTATCATTTTTCTATTGATTAATATTTATCAATCAGTTAATTGTATAGTGTAAAGTCCACAGAATAACTTCAAAATACAAAAGTAAACAACAAAATAACCAAAATCAATATTGTTCAAAACAATTGTGTGTAAATACGAGTTTTTTTTTTTTTTTTGCAGCAATTTAATACTTAATCACTATTTTCCAAAAAATACGTTTTTAAAGTACCAGCCATACCAGTACATCTACACCCAATTTG